ACATTCAATTCGATACATATTGTTTTCTAAATCTTAAGTTTTGATTTGATTTTAATAAAACGAGTATTTTTAAAGAATTGCTAACAGATTATATTTTTGGTTATAATTTATTGATTAATCGTTGATCAAGTTAATCCTAATATTCGAAGTAAACATTAAATTCTTTTATCGATTTAGAATCGATAAAAATTTGGTTTCGACATGCAACTTAACAGATTCATTTAAATAAAACAAATCAGATTCAAAATTTAAATAATCAATTTAACTAATTCGAATTCATAAACACAATGATCGTTTAAAAATTACATTTTTATTGATTTATTTTATTTCATTTGTACAAAAACTAGGGATGTTAAAGATCTTAAACTCGAAACCTCGGAAGCTAGTTTTTAAAAAAACCAAGATTTTTAGATTCATATATATATAATATATGTTATATAAGATAAAAGGGGGTATCGCGCGTACATTCTTCAACTTCTTACTATAGAATTTCAAAGTTGATGGAAAACGTATAAAAAGGACGGTATAGCAAAGCTATAATAATTTGTTGCTTGTCTTCTGTGCATTAACCAAATTGACCTTTTTTCAAAACGCAATAACCATGCAAACCACTTTATATAATAGCCTTTACGTATAATTTTTTAACTGAAGCTCCTCCCTATAAGAAAAGTGGTCCGGGAAAACAGTGTGGCTGACGCGGGCTAATCAGGCCCGGTTTTGCACGTTCGTGGTCCGGGACAGTGGACTGTATTGGTCTGCGTGCTCGTGCCAATTTAAATGTGCATCGTGAAATTGACGTGCCTTTTTGTAGCAGTTTACTAAGCCAATTGACACGGAGTATGGCACGTAGGGTTGTGTTACATAAATTACAATTTTACATTACATGTAATTTTACGTAAGTTACAGAAAATCAAATTTCATGTTAACTTTCACACGTCATACATAAGTGCCAGATTTACAAAATTTCGGCCAGCATTATTATGTCAATTGATTTGAATGTACGATCCGAAATGTAACATCTAAATCGCCGAAAATTTGACCTCAGAAACTAAATGTCATGTGCTCAAAATTACAATTACATGAAATTTCAATTTACCGAATCTTACACCAACTTACGTAAAGTTACGTAAAATTACTGTAATTTAACAACCCTAATGGCACGTGAATGTAACGGGTGATTAAATGAAAATTTACGATCTTCTTTCCAATTAATATTATATTAAAGGACTTGATAGTAGTTAGAGTATATATATCTAAAATTAACGCAAATCCATATATGCAAAATTTTTCAAGGAATCTTTTTCATTAAGACACCCAGAGCAGCTTTATAGGCGAAATTTTGAGATATTTCTTTTTCTTTAAACAAAAATAACCTTCACAAACAATCTGTTTTTCTTAGAAGAATGAAATATCACAAAATTTCGCCTATAAAGCTTCTCCGGGTGTCTTAATGAAAAAGATTCCTTGCAAAATTTTGCATATATGCATTTGCGTTAATTTTAGATATATATACTCTAACTACTATCAAGTCTTTCGATATATCAATTGGAAAAAAGATCGTAAAATTTCATTGAATCACTCGTGACATTCACGTGCCATACTCGGCTTAGTAAACTGCTACAAAGGCACGTCAATTTCACGTAGATGCATCGGACCACGCACGTGCAATGTCGGTTCCCTTTAGCCCGTGAAATTTTGCACGTGCCTATACACTGTTTTCCCGGACCACTTTTCTTATAGGGCCTGAGACACAAATTACAGCCATTTCTCTCGTTTACCGGGCATTAGGTGATGAACCACCAATAGAAAAGGAAGACTTAAGAGTAGAAGTAAATCATGTAACTTCGTCGGCGCTAATGGAATGCGAAGTAGATTCTGACCGATACAGGAGAATGTTGAAGATATCTGATCAGGTACAGTAAAATTTGAGAGTAGAACCAGACGATGAGAAGTGCATACCGAGTAGGAAGAAATAAGTTAAATGCTAGTTTGGAGCCAATAGATGCCATAGCCATGCAAGAACTGGACTCTAATCCACAGACGCATTGGAGGCGTTTTTGGTTTCACCTATGCACAAAATTTTTATTCTTATGGGTGTTCGAACGTGGGAATAAAATTAATAATGATGGCCATTATCAAATTTAATAATATATCTACATTTTTTTTTAGTTTGATGATGTATTTGAGGGATTTCGTAGCATACGCGAAATGGAAGCAGAAATGAAACCTTTAAGTGATGAAAATAAAACAAATTTAAGGAAGTTAAAAAACCGTCATGCGGTAAATATTCTTAATAACCAAAATACAAATTATATTCATCTCTTAACTTGAAGCTCTATGTTTTTAGAAAAGCAAGGCCATCCATGCTATACACTTACAGAAGAGCTTGAAAGGTGTTATTGAGAAAGTTGTGAGTTGGAAAGATCTATTTGGAAGTTGAGTGATTAGTGATAGAACTGAGATAGTGCACCAGTTGCCTCTCAATGCTTTCAAATCTTTCATGGGTTTCAAATTACATATGCAACCACAAGTTTCAGATGAAATTCAAGAAATGTATAAGGAATATATAGAAAATTTTCCTGAAAATATTTTAGAAATTTTATTAAGTAATTTGCATAATGGCAAGTAGAAGAATCAGATAAGAATTTAAAAAAAGTTGTAAAAGAAATTCTTGATGTATTAAATAAGGTTTGGAAAAATCTAACCTTTTCTTTAAAATTTTAAATTATTAAATAAGAGAACTTATATTACAGAGATAATAATATCTGTGCTTAGAGCTTCACTAAAAAACTTTTCAATTATTAAGTTTGGTTTTATTATTACTGTGAAGCAAGAAAGTTTAGTTAGTAAGAATAAGAAAGAAAAATATAGAAAAAAATCAGATATTATGTTTATTTTAAAATATAAAAAAAGAAATATGAATTAATATATAGAGAATGTTTCAGTTGGTTTGTGATAAACAAAAAGAATAAACAAAATGAAGTTGTGAAGAGAAATTAATAATAGATATATTGGGTGTACATAAGATATTCACCAACCAAAGAAGAATTTGGCATTATTGGTATTCAGATAGCAGGTATTCAACTATACTTAATATCTTTATAAGAAATAAGAACAAGATCTATCAACTTTATGAACTGTGATCACTCACTATTTCAGTGAAGCCTTC